CGGTCACGAGGACCTGCGTCGCCGTCACCCCGACGAGGCAGATGGGGACTGCACAGCGGCCGGACTCAGATCCGCCGCTTCGGAGCGGATCGAGGGCTCAAACTCTTGGCTCATCTCGACGCGATCGGGTCGCGGAGGGAAGCGGAAGTCTTCTCGGAGATCGGACTCCAGGGTCTTCTAGGTCGGGAGACCACTGTAGCATAAACACCCCCAACGGAGAGGGGTGTATGCACAGCTCGACGTAGACCCCGTCCTAACGGGAAGACGGGGGTGAAGCGGGACACCAGCTAACGGCACCGGGCAGCGGGCCCAGGTAGCGTGGTAGAGCGGGAACGGGGAGGACGCCGGTACGCGCGAGCGGTTCGACGCCTCGACGCCCCGGCGCGGTACTGGGTGACGATCCAGTACCGACGGGCGGAGGGGGGGGGGGGGGGGGCGAGGTGTGGCGTGCGAGCAGTGAATTGGGAGTTGGCAGCTGGGAGTTGGGTGTGGCGGAGAAGGGGAAATGGCGCTGTCAGGATTGCGATCGCGGCAGCAACGCGATGCTTGCAGACAGAAGTTGTGACCTCAACCGCGAGGAGCTGACGCCCAATGGCGCACCGCCCCTCGCATTTTGATGGAATGCAAATCACAGCCCAGGGCCCGCACGTGTCCCACCTGTACACGTCGCACACGTGGTCTCGTGGACGCGTGGACATCTCCATGCTTGGTGTGCTAGACTAGTGTGTCCACTACCAAGGGTACCACACCACCACCACCACCACCACCACCACCCCCCCCCGCCTTCGCCCTTCTTCACCCCGCCGCAACTCCCGCTCTCTCCCAATTCTAGTGCGCTCTTCTCTCCCTTTTAACTCCCCCGTACATGTCTACTCGCGCTACAAACAAAACCGTCCACTCACTACCGCTCATCACCGCTCATCACCGCTCATCCACCACCTGCCCCCACCCGTGCACGTCCTCTATCTCCCCGTACTGAATCCCCCGCACCTTGTGGTACAATCTCTTCAGCCTCTCCCCGACCACGTCCGGCTCCTTACCGATCACCATCACCTCACTGCCGTGCACCAACCGCGTCACGGCCGTGATCACCACAGCCGTCCCACACGCCGCAACCTCCTCAAACTCCCCCACCTCCCCAATGTCCACGGCCCGCCTCTCCACCGTCATGCCCTCGTCGCGCGCCAGCTGCATCAGCGTCTTGTTCGTGATCGACGGCAGCACGCTACCCGAGTCCGGCGTCACGTACCGGTCCCCCTTGAGCCCGATGAAGTTGGACGTCCCAAACTCCTCCACCGTCCTCCCATTCCCCGCGTCCAGGTACAGGTTGATCGGGTACCCCGCCCGCTTCCCCATCAGGTTGGGCATCAAGTCCGCCGCGTAGTTGCCCGCCACCTTCACGTGCCCCACCCCTTTCGGCGCCGCCCGGTCAAACCCTTGCATCACCACCGCCGTCACCGGCGCCAGCCCGCCCTTGTAGTAGTCCCCGACCGGCACCACCAGCACCAGAAACGTAAACTCGTCCGACGTCTGCAGCCCAATCTTCGGCCCGCTCCCGATCAGCAGCGGCCTTATGTACAGCGACCCACCCGTCCCGTACGGCGGCACAAACATCACATTCTCCCTTACCGCCCGATGCACCGCCTCCAAAAACAGCTCGCTGGGCACCTGCGGCATCACCAGCCTCTCCGCGCTCGCCTGCATCCGCTTTGCGTTCTCGTCCGGCCGGAAGATCCGTATCCGCCCGTCCTTCCCGCGGAACGCCTTGAGCCCCTCGAAGCACGCCTGTCCGTAGTGCAGCGCCGTCGCCGCGATGTGCAGCTTGATGTACGGCTCGCCCACCGACTCCAGCCCGGACCACTGCCCGTCCTTGTACGTCGCCCGCACGTGCGCCGCCGTCTGCGTGTACTGGAACCCGAGGTTCTCCCAGTCCTGCGCCAAGCCCGCCGCCCGCACGTCCGACTGCACCATGCGCGGCG